TGGTAAATTTTCAACAAAGGTGCCAATGTAATTCAATGGAGAAAAAAAGTATTTTCAACAAATGGTTCTGGAACAATTGAATAATTGTTTATACAAAACAAAACACAGAACATAGACCATTACTTCATACCACACAAAAATTAACTCAAAAGAGTTCACATATCTAAATGTAAAACCTAAAACTATAAAATTGTTAGAAGAAAACACAGAAGAAAATTGTGACCTTAGTTTAGGCAAAGATTTCTAGATATGACACTAAAAGCACAATCCTTAAAAGAAAAATTAAAAAAAAAAAAGAAAATAAAGATAAACTTGACTTCATCAAAATTAAGCTTTTACTCTTCAAAAGACACCATTTAGAAAATGGAAAAGTAGGAAGCAGAACTAGATGGAGTAAAAAAAAGAGAAAAAAAGAAAATGGAAGAGACAGGTAATAGGATGGGAGAAAGTATCTGCAAATCATACATCTGAAAAAATTATTCAAACTATATAAAGAATTCTCTCTTAGAACTCAATAAGGCACAAAATGCAATTTTTAAAAACAAAGTATTTGAACAGACATTTCACCACGAAAAATAAATGTATGAATAGCAAATAGGCACGAGGAAAGATCATTAATTACATTAATGATTAATGACACTCATCATTAGGGAATGCAAATTAAAACCACAAGAAACTACACTTCACACTCACTGGAATGATTATAACTGCAACCCTTACATAATGCCAGTAGGCATGTAAAGCAGTAGAGCCACCTTGGAAAACAGTTTATTTCTTAAAATGTTCAACATGGCTGAGCGCGGTGGCTCACGCTTGTAATCCCAGCACTTTGGGAGGCCAAGGCAGGCAGATCACAAAGTCAGGAGATCGAGACAATCCTGGCTAACACAGTGAAACCCCCAACTCTACTAAAAACACAAAAAATTAGCCAGGCATGGTGGCGAGCGCCTGTAGTCCCAGCTACTCAGGAGGCTGAGAGGCAAGAGAATGGCATGAACCCGGGAGGTGGAGCTTGAAGTAAGCTGAGATTGCGCCACTGCACTCCAGCCTGGGAGACAGAGCAAGACTCCGTCTCAAAAAAAAAGTTACACATACACTTACCATGTGACCCAGCAATCCCACTCCTAGATATCTATACAAGAGAAATGAAAACACATGGCCATATTAAGCCCTGGACATGAATGGTCACAGCAGCATACTGCGTAGTAGCCCAAAATTAGAAACAACCCAATGTCCATCAACTTATAAATGAATGGGTAAACAAAATGTGGCATATCCATACAATGGAAAATCATTGTTCAGCAAATATAAGAGAACACACTACTGATGCATGATACAATATGGATGAACCTCAACCATTAAGCTAAGAGAAAGAACCAGGCAACAAAAGACTACATATTGTATAATTCGAATTGTATGAAATTGCTAGAAAAGGCAAAACTATTGAGACAGAAGATCAGCAGTCACTTGGGAACGGGAATCAACTATAAATGAACACAGGGGAATATTTTAGGTGATGAAATGTTCTAAAACTGGGACTGTAGTAATGACTACATAGTTGTTTACATTTAGTAAAACTCAAATAATGGTACACTTTAAAATGGATGAGTTGGGCAGGGCGTGGTGGCTCACGTCTGTAACCCCAGTAATTTGGGAGGCCAAGGTTGGTGGATCACCTGAGGTTGGGAGTTCCAGATCAGCCTGACCAACATGGAGAAACCCCATCTCTACTAAAAATACAAAATTAGCATTAAAAATACAAAATTAGCCAGGCGTGGTGGCACAAGTCTGTGATTCCAGCTACTTGGGAGGCTGAGGCAGGAGAATTGCTTGAACCTGGGATGCAAAGGTTGCAGTGAGCCGAGATCGTGCCATTGCACTCCAGCCTGGGCAACAAGAGCAAAAATTCCGTCTCAAAAAATTAAAAAAAAAAAAAAGGCCGGTTGCAGTGGCTCACACCTGTAATCCCAGCACTTTGGGAGGCCGAGGCTGGCAGATCACGAGGTCAGGAGATCGAGACCATCCTGGCTAACACGGTGAAACCCCATCCCTACTAAAAATACAAAAAAATTAGCCGGGTGTGGTGGTGGGCGCCTGTAGTCCCAGTCACTCAGGAGGCTGAGGCAGGAGAATGGTGTGAACCTGGGAGGCAGAGCTTCCAGTGAGCCGAGATCGCGCCACTGCACTCTAGCCTGGGTGACAGAGCAAGACTCCGTCTCAAAAAAAAAAATAAAAAAAAATAAAATAAAATGAATAAAATGGATGAGTTTAATGGCACGTAAAACTTCAATAGAGCTGTTTCAAAAATGAGTTGACTGATGGACAGATAAATGATGAAGCAAATGCAGCAACAGATTAGCAATTATATAATCTAGATGGTACAGTATATGAATGTCCACTGTACAATTATTCAAAGCTCTTTAAAATTTTTCATAATAAAAGGGCGGAAAGTTTGTCAAATTTAATTCAATGGCAATCACTCACATTATCAAATGTCACAATATACGAAGGGTTGACCCTTACATTACTGCATCAGATAGTATACTTTGACTTTTTATTTACAATCCTCAGAATAACAAATTCTGCTATACAGTTTTAACACAGTTTTCACTAAGGTTAGCTGACCGTATACACTATAGAGTACAGTCTAATAGTGCTAGTATAAAGTCATTTCCATATAGACCTATAATGCTGATAACTTTACCATATTCTTTGGCTTTCTTTTTTTTCCTCTTTTTTTTTTTGAGACGGAGTTTTGCTCTTCTTGCCCAGGCTGGAGTGCGATGGCGCGAAGTCAGCTCACCGCAACCTCCACCTCCCAGGTTCAAGCGATTCTCCTGCCTCAGCCTCTGAGTAGCTGGGATTATAGGTATGCGCTACACAACGCCCAGCTTATTTTGTATTTTTAGTAGAGATGGGGTCTCTCCATTTTGGTCAGGCTGGTCTCAAACTCCCGACCTCAGGTGATCCCCCCACCTCAGCCTCCCAAAGAGCTGGGATTACAGGCATGAGCCACCATGTGCAGCTTTCTCTGGCTTTCTTGATCTCCCTGACCAAGGCTTCTGAGTATTCCACTGGATGTTCTGCTCCCATTCAGTCAGCTCCTTAAATATCACTTTTCCACAGGCACAGTTTTTAGGCCTGCCTTCTCACTCCCCGGACTATCTTTGGGCAATCACATTTGCGCCTGCCCCTTAGTATGAACATTAGCCCCAAAGATAAGAACTCTCTCATTTTACCGGGAGCTATGGAAGGAAAGTGTATGAGCAAGGCAGAGAAGTGGGGGCAAGCAAAAAGTTTATTGAAGAGTGAAGGGTACCCTCAAGTTTCTGGGTAGTCCAGAGAAGGTTTTCACAGAGTCAAAGATGGGGTCTGAGCAGAGACTAAGTGCAGCCCATCTTCCCACTTTCCCTGAGTCCTCCAAACCTGCACCACAATGGGTGAGATGCTACTGGGGAGCTCTCTTTCCAGCTTGAAGTGAGCTCTCTCTCTTCTGTTCTCATTTACCCTACACACTGCTCTGCATTACCCGTAGCCCTCAATCCAATATGGCTATGTTTTGCCATTGCATTTACAATGTCAATACTCTCAGATGGCTTCCAGATCTTTACTTCAGAAAGCATGTGCTACATGCATGTCAAAAAGGACTTTGTTTATGGTCATTTGTATTTTCCAAAGGTCATGAACAAACACCTTCTGTCATGCTCTATAGTCTGTTTTTGACTGAAACTCTAAAATGCATATACTATAGAGGATGACAGAATGTGTTTGTTCATGACCTTTGGAAAATACTATCTGACACAGGCCCTCAAAACATGTTCAGTAGTTACCACTTGGTTACACTGGCCTGGAAACCTAGAGTAGACAGCTGCTTGGGAGTCAAGTTCTCCTTTCTGCTTTTTAAATGAAGAACATAGTAAATGTGTCACACAATTCTATGCCTGCTTCACAAGCAGGGCTGAGGAATGGAGGATGAAGACCAGGGGGAAATCCAGGCTGTGGGCCAATAACGCTAAGATTTTCTCACAGAGATGTAATGAAGTGAATATGAATGATTTAGTCGCTGTTACTGACATGGTTAGCAGCATGCAAATCTACAATTTCAGCATTTTGTTCTGGAGGCACTTTCTTCCACAGTCTAAAGGTGTTAGAGACTACAGAACTGAAATCAAACTGTCAGCTTAGAATGGAGACTACTTTATTAAGATAAAACTTTGAATCTCTGTGTCCTCTGACCCACTTGCTACAAGGAGACGGCTGCAGGGTTTCAGGATCTTAAGTAAGGCAACTCCAATAGCAATTTGCTTGTGGGCTTAGACTAGCAATTCTGTGACTTGCTGCCCAACTTCTGTTTCAACTTTATTCACTGCAAGCAGATTGTGATATCATTTTTCAGATCACAAATCCCAAGTCCACCTGAAGTTTGTTAATAACAGCCACAATTTATTTTCCGATTTCTACCAAGTCCCTTCCCCTCCACCGCATTCAAGCAAGTCTCTATCAGAAGTTTAAATTAGTCACTGGAACAAACATTTGAGTGCCCTGACCACAAAGAACTTAAAATATCAGAGAGAGATAAATTCCTGCTACTGAAGGAAATGGTAAGCACATATGACATTTAGGACCCTTTCTAGTACACAACCAATATCTATTTTCAGAAAAAATGTTTTGCAAGTTCCAGGAAATTTAACAGTTATTATTTGACACCCCAGAGCACTTGGATAGTGCATGTTTATTATTCAAAATAGTGCACAGAACATACTAATTTTATATATGGATCAAGGCACATGCTAAAATAGCCCCTGCTCCTGACAATAGTTGCCCAAGGATATCCATGAACATGATCAGTTGCTTCTTTATCTTTTTAGTCTTCTCTAGCTGGTTCAAGCTCTCCAGCCCTCAAGGACAAGTTAACAACATAGCTTGCAAACAGACTTTTCCCCCAGAAAAAAGAAATCCAGCAGCCCACCAAAACTGTCACCAGCCCTTCCCACACTTACCAGTGCCATAGGGAGGATGCAGCTGATGGCAGTGAGCATCAACGGCCTGAAAAAATACAGGTGGTAGTTTCAATTTTTATTTAAAATTCTTGCTTGCCAACTGCCTGAAATCTTTTAAGGCTACATGAATGGGTCTTCATGCCTCAGCCTGCCATTTCGTGGTCCAATCACTTTTGTTAACAAACACTAGTGGTCACTCATTAAAAAGCAGAAATGAAGAAAGGGAGTGAACTGTGGGCCAGCTTCTGGGCCTGGGCTAGAATGGGACATGATATAGGAAAATCAGCCTAAAGAGATCAAGACGGATGGATATGGGTCTGGGGGCGGGGGGCAAGGGATGATGTGGAGGGAGGCAAGAAAGTACTAAAGGGACAAGAGGAAGAAAGAAGGTTAAAGCACAAAGATAAAGCAGTAAGTAAACACCAGCCTACAATGGGGGCAAAATTAGCATCAGTAGTGGTGGTGGTAGTCAGTCTCATAGGGCTTCTGACCCTAAACCAGGCTCACCCCTGAAGTCTAATTTAAGTGGTAGGATTTCATTTCTCCCATACTTCACACCTAAATATCCTCAGCCTCTAAAAGGCCCACTCTCTGGCACCTGATCCTAATTTTGCCCATTCCACTTTTCTTTACAGGGACATGGAAGGAGGGCTGACTTGTAACTGAAGTACCCAAATGTTATATATGTTTTTAAATCTGATTAATAAACACAAATTTGAAGACTTCTCACCAGCCTAACCTTGATTCAGTCCTAACTGCTGTGGACTCTAATAATCAAAATCAATACTAAAAAAACCAAAGACCTCACTCAATATAAGGTTATTTATACAAAATATAATAATGTAAAAATATTAAAAGTAATCACTCCTTGACCGTAAGGGTATATATTTTAATTACAAAAAACTTCAAACATCTACCAAAGTGAAGAGTATAATGAAACCCATTACCCAGCTGGTGGCCAGACCCACCATGCCTCCATTCCAGCCCTCCCCTCCTCCCTCCAGATTATTGTGAAGTTAATCCCAGCCAGCATATCTTTTAGGGTGCATTTAATGGAAACTTTTTGAGAAGTACTTAGTACAAAGGGCTGGTTATTGCCCCTTCTAGAACTCTAACAGACTTCCAGGGGAATGCCACATAGGCAGGTTATGTCCAGCAAACCCAACCAAAAGAAATGCAGATAGGAGGTGATATCAAATGAGCTGCACAGAGTAGGCTAAAAGCTGTGTCCATTCCTGCAGCCACAGCCCATCCTGTCCAAAAATTACTTGAAACAATGCTCTGTCTCAGCTACTGCTACTGTGAGAAGGCAAAGAGAGGGAATATCAAATAACCAGCTAGGTAGTAATATCCAAGTACTACCAATAAGATGGTAGTACCATCTTCTCCAAAAGGAGGGCACTTCAGAGGCCAGCATATCTTAATGAGAAAGCCAGATTCCAACAGCATGTTTCAATGACAGAGCTGGTACCTCATCGACTGCTTTCCTTAGCTACCCCTTTATGCTAGAAACATATAACCTTATTTTTATAACCTTTCTGTTTATATAAAACTACATAAACAGGAATAGAATGAAAGCCCATTGAGGGCAGAAATTTTTTTGACTGATTCCTTCTCTCCACACCTAAGAACCTGGAACAATACCTGTGTTAGCATTAGGTCCCATACGCCAACACCACTCTCTGCCTGTCTCCGGTGGTCCAGACTTGTCACCACACCCACATCCTCCGCAAGAGCGTATGAAGGTGCCAAGGCCTTCCAAGCCCTCAGGGATACACAGGGATACAGGAGAGGCCAGACACAGCTTCTCTGAGACAGGTTTAAAAAAGTTGGAGGGCTTAGCAGTCTCTCGAGGGTTGCAAGAAGGGCGGAGATGCTGACAATAGGTTGGAGGAGGCTAAAATCAGATATATGAGTTAGGGAGAGGAACAATAAGGAGATCAGGCTGGAGCCTGGAGAATCCACTTTAAATTTTTCAACAGAGCAAAATAATCAAAGTGGTGCTTTTAGCAGATGTATCAGAAAAATAAAAAGTGGAAGTAAAGGAGGGGGTAGATATTAAAGGCAGAGAGATCTTTAAGTTATTTGAAAAAGAAGAGATCAGCTGGGTGCAGTGGCTCACACCTGCAATCCCAGCACTTTGGGAGGCCGGGGCAGGCGAATCTCCTGAGGTCAGGAATTCAAGACCAGCCTGGCCAACATGGTGAAACTCCATATCTACTAAAAATACAAAAATTAGGGTCAGGCATGGTGACTTACGCCTGTAATCCCAGCACTTTGGGAGGCTGAGGCGGGCAGATCACCTGAGGTCAGGAATTCGAGACCAGCCTGACAACAATGGAAACCTCATCTCTTACTAAAACCAAAAATTAGCTGTGCGGTGGTGGCAAGTGGCCTTGATATCCTAGTATACTCAGGGAGCTGAGGCCAGGGAATGGCTTGAAACTGGGAGGCAGAGGTTGCAGTGAGCCAAGATTGTGCATTGCACTCAGCCTGGGCAACCCAGAGGCAAAAACCATCTCAACAAAAAAAAAAAAAAAAAAACTTAGCTGGGCATGGTGGCCGGCACCTGTCCCACCACTCCGAACTCCTGACCTATGTGATCTGCCCGCCTCGGCCTTCCCAAGTGCTGGGATTAGCAGGAGTCGTAGCCACCGCATCCCGGACTTCGGCTCATTGTGCACTCTCCTCTCTCTCCTCTCTTTTTATAACCTCAGCTACACAACCCTCACTCACCGGGTTCAAGCGTATCTCCTGGCTCAGCCTCCGAGTAGTCTGGGATTACAGATGTGTCCACACACCAAGGCTGTTTTTTAGTTTTTTTTTTTTGAGAAAGGCGTCTCACTTCTGTCACCCACGACTGGAGCGCAGTGGTGTGTCTCGGCTCACTGCAAGCGCCACCTCCCGGGTTCACACCATTCTCCTGCTCAGCCTCCAGAGTAGCTGGGACTACAGGTGCCCACCACCATGCCCAGAGAATTTTTTGTATTTTTAGTAGAGACGGGGTTTCACCATGTTGGCCAAGCTGGTCTCTAACGCCTGCCTCGTGCCTCCCATAGTGCGGAGATTACAGGTGTGAGCCACTGCGTCCAAGCCTGGGTTCTTTTGGAGGTAATGAAATGTTCTGGCAAGAGTAAGATGATGGTTGCATAACATTGTGAATGTACTAAATGCCACTGAATTGTATACTTTTAATGGTAAGTTTAGGTTATGTGATTATTACTTCAAAAAAAAATTTTTTTTAAGATGGAGTCTCTGTCAGTCGGCTGGAGCATGTAGCCACGATCTTGGCCTCACTAAAGTCCAACCTCCCAAGGTCTGCCATTCTCCTGCCTCAGCCTCCTGAGTAGCTGGGACTACAGGAAAGCCCGCCACCATGCCCAAAGCTATTTTTGTATTTTTAGTAGAGACGGGGTTTCACCGTGTTAGCCAGGATGGTCTTGATCTCCTGACCTCACGATTCGCCCACCTCGGCCTCCCAAGAGCCTGGATTAAGGTGTGGGATTAACAGGTGTGAGTCACTGTGCCCGGCTGATTATTACTTCAAATTTTTAAAGGGAAGAGGGGTCAGGAAAATGAATCCTAAGCTCTGTGTACACAAACAGAATATATCATTTTAGGGTGATCGACGAGAGATAGCTATTACTCCAGACTCAAGGGCCCCCAGATGATAAATGAGATCAGCCAAATCTCACACTCTAAGGGTCCTATTTCTCTCCAGTTTATCTCATTTCTTAAAAATAAGGGTTTTGGCCAGGCGCCCCTGTAATCCCAGTACTTTGGGAGGCCAAGGCAGGCGGGTCACCTGAGGTCTGGAGTTCAAGACCAGCCTGGCCAACATGGTGAAACCCCATCACTACTAAAAATACAAAAATCAGCCAAGTGTGGTGGAGCATGCCTGTAGTCCCAGCTACTCAGGAGGCTGAGGCAGGAGAATTGCTTGAACCTGGGAAGCACAGGTTGCAATGAGCTGAGATCACACCACTGCACTCCACCCTGGGGGACGAGCAACACTCTGTCTTAAAAAATTAAATAAATAAGTTTCTTCTGTTTTTATGTAGGTTTTTTTTTTTTTTTTTTTGTCTAAAGACTCAGTGGGGACAGGGATGACTAGTCTATATACAGCTTTTTTATTAATCCCCCCATTTGCAGCACACTTATCTCTTCCAGCATTCATCAGTCATTTCAGAGTCCATGGTCTTTTCAAAATTTGGACAAACTGGCTCACATTTTGCAATGATGTCCCCATACAACACCCCACTCCAACCCATTTTGTTTGTTAATATTAATTTACCAGTGCCTTTACTTTCATTTTCATGGTATTTAAAAATGGAAGGGCACTCCCAAATTTACTTTATCCCCTTTAATAATCTCTCTCCTCCTGCTCTCTTTGGTCCTCCAGACAACTGTTGATTTACTTTATGATGGATTAGTTTGCATTTTCTAGAATTTTATATGACTGACATATAAAGTTTTTGTCTCTCCCCTTTGGGTTTCTTCATGTGGCATTTTTTTTTTTTTTGAGTTTTATCAATGATGCTTACATAAGTAGCTCATTATTTTAGCTGAGAAGTATGCAGTTCTATGGATATGCCACTGTTTGTTTATTCATCTGTTTGAGCAACTCACATACTGAGTTGCTTCCAGTTTTTGGCTATTGCAAATAAAACTAAACAGACATCTGAATACCAAAACAAACAGAAGAAGCAGGGTTGGGGCAAAGGCATGTGCAGCCAACCATCTTGAAGTAGCAGTGTTAATAAATTTGCAAAAGAAAATCTGGTGTATTCTACTACAGTATCATAAAATTCACATTGTATTTAAGATTACAGATACCATTAGTCATCTCTACATCATCAAAAAGGACAGCCTGGTCAACATGGTGAACCCCTGTTTCTCATCATCAAAAAGGGCACAGAACCCACTTTTATCTTTTTTTCACTAAAGAATATTCATTTCTTTATAATTATTGCTAAATAAACTTCTCTTTTAAACAAGATCATAAAATACAGTAGGACTTTGCACAGTGGAAACACAAAAAAGTTGGTTTGTACACACATGAAAATAAGTTAGAATGTTCATATGTTCTTTTTTTTTTTTTGAGACGGAGTCTTACTCTGTCGCCCAGGCTGGAGTGCAGTGGCCGGATCTCAGCTCACTGCAAGCTCCGCCTCCCGTTTACCGCATTCTCCGGCCGCTCAGGCAGGTACTGGCGATTACAGCGGCCAACCACCTCCCCGGCTAGTTTATTTGTATTTTTTAGTAGAGATGGGTTTCACCGTGGTAGCCAGATCGGTCTGATCTCCTGACCTCGTGATCCGCCGTCTCGCCTCCCTAAAAGTGCTGGGATTATACGCTTTGAGCCACCGCCCCAGCCAGATGTCATATTCTGCACAGTTAGAGAGAAAAAAATAACGAAAAAAAATTTTTTAAAAAAAAGTTAGAATGGAATTTGTCCAGTAGTTTCCAAGTCACCTGAAGCCTCTTTTGAGAAGATTAGGAAGGAGTGAGGACAGGAGTCTTGCCAAAACCACTCCTAAGCTCAAACTGAGTTGTCCTGTTTCTTCCTCTTAGCTTTGCCGAGGTCCAAGGAAAAAGGCAGGAGGGCTTTCAAATATAAAACCTCGCAGAGGACCAGTGCTGATGGTGGGGCCAGGGGAAAAGAAGATAGCCCCCACCCCAGGGGCTAGACCTTCTCTTGAAAATTAATGAAATATAAAGTTACATTTAGACATCAAAAAGACTATGGGAAGCCTATCCAACTTGCAAGTATAGCTGAGCAATTTATATCCTACTTCTACTGTTACAAAACCAGTACACTCCAAATGCTGGACACGTCCTTTCAGTAGTCAAAAGAAAGCAAGCACTCCTCCCTCTTCACTTGAATAACCCAAACCATTTTACAATTTTCCTGCACTTCCACGCAAATGTAATGTAAAATGCCTTGGTCTAGCCCCTTGAGATTCTGTTTATTTTTTTATATATATATATATATATTTTGTTTTTGTTTTTGAGACGGAGTCTCTCTCTGTCGCCCAGAATGGAGTGCAGTGGCATGATCTCAGCTCACTGCAACCTTGCAACCTCTGCCTCCCAGGTTCAAGCGATTCTCCTGCCTCAGCCTCCCAAGCAGCTGCAATTATAGGTGCCTACCATCATGCCCAGCTTATTTTTATATTTGTGTAGCGACAGCGTTCACCATGTTGGCCAGGATGGTCTCAAACTCCTGACCTCAAGTGATCCGCCCACCTCGGCCTCCCAAAGTGCTGGGATTACAGGTGTGAGCCACTGTGCCTAGATTGTTTCATTACAATTATATGAAGTTCAGGTTTCTATATGAGAATTGCTAAAACTAATTCTGATATATACCATAAGCTGGGAATCATATATCTGTTAGGTTTATACCATCTTTTTTTTTTTTTTGAGATAGAGTCTCACTCTGTTGCCCAGGCTGAAGTGCAGTGGTATGACCTCAGCTCACTGCAACCTCCGCCTAACGGATTCAAGCGATTCTCCTGCCTCAGCCTCCCAAGTAGCTGGGATTACAGGCACCTGCCATCACGCCCGGCTAATTTTTTGTATTTTTAGTAGAGACGGTGTTTCACTGTGTTGGCCAGGATGGTCTCGATCTCCTGATCTCAGGATCCACCCACCTCGGCCTCCCAAAGTGCTGGGATTACAGGCGTGAGTCACCGCACCCAGCCAGGTTTATACCACCTTTATTTGGAGGTCAGCTGGCTTCACGAAAAAGTACTTTGAAGAGAATGTCTTCTGTTTACAAACTGGAGCACACAGAAGTAGAGGTTTGGAGTTAAATTTTCAACTGTGCATTTATTGGCCTGGGCTTAGACACATTAAAAAGCAACACTTACTGAGAACATAACATAACCAGGCATTTCCGCTATGTGCTGTTATGTAAAGAAAAAACATAGACCTCTATCTCAAAGAGTTTATATCCTAGCTTATAACTAATTGGTAAACATTGTAAGTACACACCAAGAAACAAGCATAGTGGTACAGAGGCAAGAGTGACAGACTGGGGATCCGGGAGGGATTCACGTAAACAAGGAGAGGGTCAATCCTCTATTTCCAGGTTGATGGATGGTGGTACTAACAATTAAGATAGAGAATCCAGGAAACCAAGCTTGACGGCATTAGAAAGATTTCTTGTAAAAAGAGGTAAGGTTATCTACAGACTTCTGGAAAGGATGGCGACAGAATTAAAGAGACTGTTACCGGCCTAAAATAAGGAATAAAAGACATGAGAGCAGGTAGAGCTGACCAGGAAAAGAAACTGCTAGTCAAAGAGAACAACTTTTCCAGATAGAGACCACACTTTCTTCACAATTATAAGAACAGCTCTGTTTTCCTGTTAAAGTCTCCAAACAAACCTCTTGCTCATCCTGCCTGTATTTTTCTCTATTTATGGTCAATAACATGGTCACTACTGTGAAATCATTCATGGCTTTTTTTGAGACGGAGTCTCGCTCTGTCGCCCAGGCTGGAGTGCAGTGGTGCCACCTTGGCTCACTGTAAGCTCTGCCTCCCGGGTTCACGCCATTCTCCTGCCTCAGCCTCCCAAGTAGCTGGGACTATAGGCGTCCACCACCACACCCGGCCAATTTTTTGTATTTTTAGTAGAGACGGGGTTTCACCGTGTTAGCCAGACGGTCTCAATCACCTGACCTCGTGATCCGCTCGCCTCGGCCTCTCAAAGTGCTGGGATTACAGGTGTGAGCCACCGCGCCTGGTCTGTTTTTGTTTTTCTGAGACAGAGTCTCGCTCTGTTGCCGAGGCTGGAGTGCAGTGGTGCGATCTCAGCTCACTGCAATCTCTGCTTCCCAGGTTCAAGCGATTATCGTGCCTCAGCCTCCCAAGTAGCTGGAACTACAGGTTTGCACCACCATGCCCAGCTAATTTCTGTATTTTTAGTAGAGATGGGGTTTCATCATGTTGGCTAGGCTGGTCTTGAACTCCTGACCTCAGGTGATCTGCCTGCCTTGCCACCCAAAGTACTGGGAATACAGGCGTGAGCCACTGTGCCCGGTGGAAATTATTAATGTTTATAAAGATTTGTGATATAAAAGGAACTTCATGTTTTGACAGTTCATGTCAGTTTAAGAAATAAAGTAGGGCAGATACATTTCAGGAGGAGCAAAATGCTCCTCATTCTGCACCTTTTTCAAATCTTTCCTATAATTCTTCCCTCTTCGGGGAAGACAAATCTAATCCTTCAAATTTTCCTAGAGCAGCAAGGGCAAAGAAAAAGCAAAAAATAAATAAATAAATAAATAATTAGATTGGAGCAAGGCAAAATTAAAGTACGGAGGTATCTCAAGAACAAGAACCTCCAAAACAAGTGAACACTAAGTAGTGCTATTAACATAGGCATAAGATCAAACATTGTAGTCAACCACAAATACAGGTACAGACAAGCTATTATTTCCCTGTATCTTTTTCCTCGCTCCAATTCAAAGTTCATTTTGTGTTATTTTTGCTTTTCTTTCGGTGGGCCCCAGGAGAAGGGAACCAGAGGCTCTAGGGGAAGGTAAAATAATCCAAAGTATATGACCCAATATCATATGCACACTCAGAGGCACCAGTCAGCAATATATTGTCCAGAACCATCCTCAATGTGTAGCCTCCTACCCTATGATTCAAGACACACAACCCTGAGAATGTGTTTTAAGGAACCAAGACAAGAAATATTCCCATCCCTCCGCTTTTGCCCCACTTCTACTATGACCAAGCGAAATCGGTTTGAACATTCATGTTCCAGGCACTTTATCTGCATTATCATCACATTTAATGTTGTGAAGGAGGTGTCATCATTATTTTACAGATGAGGAAATTCAAGCATAGAGATGCTGAGGGACTTATCTGAGATGATATTATATTAAATGGAAAAAATGGGACTGGAACCCAATCATCTGACAACTAGCCCAGACTCTGGACAAGGCCCATCAGACACAAAAGTCATATCCATAAAGACATTCACAACAATGTAACCAGTCCCCCAACAACTGTAATACATAGGTACTCACTTAAATGCCCAACGGAGAAAGATTAAGCAAATTACGGTTCAAAAACAAGATGGCATGCTACACAGCCATTTAAAGTATTTGTGAGAACAAAGTAAAAACGGGGAAATATTTGAAATACACATGAAAAAAACAGAATGCATAAAATACATGTACCTACTGATTATTATAATGCAATGTCTACCAGGGCAGAGATTTTTATCTGTTTTGTTCAGTTATTTTTCCTGTTACGTGCCTGGCATGGGAACATAACAGGAAGCATAGTAGGTTCTCAATAAATATCCAATATTGGTTGAATGAATTGCTGAACAGTAATGCTACGTATGAATATGGACAAGAACTGAAGGATGATAAGTAAGGAAGAAAACTTATTTTAGGTTAATGAAAACATGAATGATACCATTTTCTTAAATATTATAGTAACATCTTGACAAAAAAAATTTATAAACTCAAGATTAAAATATAAACGTCAAAAAAAAATAACAAACACAAGTACCGTATCATCCCTTGATTACACATGACTTCCATGGTTCCTGAGGTAGAGAAAGCAAACAAAAAGACTAGAATGAAAGCTGGCCTTGAATCTGATAAAGAGCTTCTTTTCTGGAAGCTGATGAGCATGTTTTGTATGGTATCAGGTACACAGCGATGACAATAACCTTTCTAAGCTGGCAAGAGAAGGACAACTTCGCACCATTTTTATTTAGGCCATTCTCAATGTCACTCTGGACATTTCTCATTGCCTTTAAAAAATGAATTTACACATCAGTAAACACACCTCAGACTTCCAGACTAAAACACTGTGAAATATGTTAACGAACCTATTAACAGCCAGCTATTTGAAATGCAGGAATTTAACCTAAGTTCTACTTAGATAGAGGTATGCGAAGAGCTCACATCAGATCACAAAAATAGAAATCAGAGGGCCGCTCAGCACACAAACATTCAGTGTAACCAGGCCCAGCTTGAAGATACTTTCCCATGAGTAGTAGCAACAACAACAACAACAAAAAAAAACGATTCTTCGTCAATTAATGACTGTAAGTAAATAAAAATAGAATGATCTTAAAATTCAGCTATATCAGAATAAAAGAAAATCGATTTAATAATTAAAGTTTTCACCAGATACTTGTTATCTTTTAACTTGGCATTATGTAAGTAGTTAGTACCAATTAAGAAAATGGCTAAAATAAGGTACTTTGTTGTTATGAACACCAATTGATCATGTTACAAGTGAAAAGGGCAAAAAAGCCAGGTTGTTTTGAACACAGGACTATACAGACTTCGGCACTTAAGAGTCAGAAGCCCTGACAACTCATTACTATTCATCCACAAAGGGGAAAAATTGTCCACAGCAGAATCTTAGATTTTCCAGTCACATTTTGCTAAAGAGCAAACACTAGATTTTAAAACAAATTCACAAAAGAGTATGGCAGAATAGAGTGTTCTAGGAAATATCTTCACAGCTTTGCTGCAGTTGATACAGCAATTCATAAAGCAAGAAGAAATGTAGTAAAAACACTTGTAATAATTGGCATATTCCTCCAATCGTATCTGGGAAACAGGCTTAAAAAGTGAGCAACAGGGCCAGGCGCAGTGGCTCGCACCTGTAATCCCAGCACGTTGGGAGGCCAAGGCAGGTGGATCACGAGGTCAGGAGATCAAGACCATCCTGACTAACAAGGTGAAATCCTGTCTCTACTAAAAATACAAAAAAATTTAGCCGGGCATGGTGGCGGGCCGCCAGTAGTCCTAGCTACTCAGGAGGCCACAGGAGAATGGCGTGAACCCAGTAGGCAGAGTTTGTAGTGAGCCGAGATCACGCCACTGCACTCCAGCCTGGGGGACAGAGCAAAAGTCCGTCTCAGCTAAAAAAAAAAAAAAAAAAGTGAGCAATATAGTTCACTATGCCACACATGCGCTGAATAAGTTTTAAAAACCTATTTAAATACCTATTTAAAATCCTAGGCCGGGTGCGGTGGCTCACGCCTGTAACCCCAGCACTTTGGGAGGCTGAAGTCGGTAGATCGTCTGAACTCTGGAGTTTGAGACCAGCCTGGGCAACATGGCGAAACCCCGTCTCTACCAAAAATACAAAAAAAGAAAAAGAAAAAAAAAATTAGCCGGCCATGTAGTGCGCACCTGTGGTCCCAGCTATTTGGGAGGCTGAGGTAGGAGGACTGTTTGAGCCTGGGAGGTGGAGGTTGCAGTGAGCCAACATCGTGCCACTGTACTCCAACCTGAGTGCCAGAGTGAGATGCTGTCTCAAAAAACAAACAAACAAACAAACAAAGTCCTATAAAAACCTATTCCTATAGGTTACAAAACCTATTCCTTTCCTCCAACAGTAAAGATGCTTGAGGCTACAATCATAATCCTCCTTTCTACCTATACATCTCTGACCCTCATTCCAGCCCAGAAGATAACCCTCCCAATCCCATGCCCATTGCCCTATGGAGCCAGGACTTCTGTAACCTGCATTGCCCTTCTACACCACCTTCAAAGTCCTCTGGCCTCAACACAAAGCTCAGGTAGCTCACTACACCTCCTGGACTAGATCTAGTTCAAAGTGGCCTACTTCTTTCCCCTCCTGAAGCAATGGGGTGGGTCCCTGAACAATATGCACTTCTCCTGCCCATACCCTTAACACGATGCTAAGATGAGGGCACAAGGAGAAAGAGACTCTTGACCCATCACAAACCAAAGCCAGCTCCACAGTCATGATACTGCCTGGGCTTTGTCTGGGGCTCTACCAAGGCTGAGCTGCTTCCTGAGCAGCTTGTCAGCAAATATCTCAAGAGTTCCATGGAATGGTAATTAAAAGGACTCACTGAATAACTGAAAAAAATTATTGGCTAACTACTTAACTACTGTATATTTTGTAATAAAAAGGCTTATGGTTACAAGAAGGACCTCTTTCATTTATAAAGACAATAAAATAATCTTTGTATAAGTCTCCTATAAAAATATAGTGTAGAAAAAGGTAACTTTGTTTTCTTTAAAGACTCATACATGATCACTAAAAATACTTATTCCCCAGAGATCCCCTCCTCCTACAATACAACACCTCACTTGGCAATCATTTAATCTCATTTGACTATTCCATTTGTTATTTGTGTAGGATAGTTCATTCTCAAATAATGCTTCTGTTTTGCCACTATTTGAATACCAAGTTTCCCTACCTCAGTAACAGATAAGTATTTTCTCTGTTCTCTATCCTGAGCCCTTGATCTGATTTTCTGGGCACCTTCCTCTCTCAATAATGACTTTACTCATAGACTGGTCCCAGAACACATACAGGAAGTTACCCTCTGACAGCAGGGCCCTCATTAAACTAGAAATCCAGCGTCCCAGACAATTGTGATTTTTTTCTTTTCTTTTTTTTGAGACAGAGTCTTGCTGTGTTGCCCAAGCTGGAGGGCAGTGGCACGATCTCAGCTCACTGCAAGCCCCGCCTCCCGGGTTCACGCCATTCTCCTGCCTCAGCCTCCCGAGTAGCTAGGACTACATACAAGTGCCTGCCACCATGCTCTGCTAATTTTTTGTATTTTTAGTAGAGATGGGGTTTCACTGTGTTAGCCAGGGCTCTCCTGACCTCATGATCCACCCGCCTCGGCCTCCCAAAGTACTGGAATTACAGGCGTGAGCCACCGAGCCCGGCTGAAAATTGTGATTTTTCTACTTAAGACACTTTACCCAGCTAACTCAGGAGGCTGAGGCAGGAGGATCACTTGAGGCCAGGAGTTTGAGATCAGCCTGGGCAACATAGTGAGATTCTGTATCTTTAAAAAAAATTTTTTTTGCAGCTTTTTGAGTCCACTTAAAAATTTTTTCTTTATTTTTTGAGATGGAGTCTCACTCTGTCACCCAGGGTAGAGTGCAGTGGTGCGATCTTGCTTCACTGCAACCTCCGCCTCCCGGGGTTCACACCATTCTCCTGCCTCAGCCTCCCAAGTAGCTGGGACCACGGGCGTGTCACCACACCCGGCTAATTTTTTGTGTTTTTAGTAGAGATGGGGTTTCACCGTGTTAGCCAGGATGATCTTGATCTCCTGATCTCGTGATCCACCCGCCTTGGCCTCCCTAAGTGTTGGGATTACAGGCGTAAGCCACCATGCCCGGTCAAAATAAATACTTTTTTTGTTTGTTTGTTTGTTTTTTGAGACGGAGTCTCGCTCTGCCGCCCAGGCTGGAATGCAGTGGCCGGATCTCAGCTCACTGCAAGCTCCGCCTCCTGGGTTTACGCCATTCTCCTGCCTCAGCCTCCCGAGTAGCTGGGACTACAGGCACCTGCCAGGTCGCCCGGCTAGTTTTTTGTATTTTTTAGTAGAGACGGGGTTTCACCGTGTTAGCCAGGATGGTCTTGATCTTCTGATCTTGTGATCCGCCCGTCTCGGCCTCCCAAAGTGCTGGGATTACAGGCTTGAGCCACCGCGCCGGGCCAATTTTTTGTTAATTAGCTGTAGGCACCTACAGCCCCAGCTATTTGGAAGGCTGAGAAGGAAGAATAGCTTGAACCCAGGAGTTTGAGGGTGCAGTGAGCTGTGATCATGCTACTGCACTCCAGCTGTGAGACAGGGCAAGAGCTCATTTCTAAAAATTTTTTTAAAAATAATTTTTAAAAAGAGACTTCAAATCCCAAATGGCAGTGAAAGGCTTAACTTTATGATATGCTATCAATCATCCACATGCAACTGCCTGGACACACAAAATGAGTACACAGACATGAGAATCAAGTAAAAAATTTAAGCTACTCCTCAAACTTGGATAGTTTTTACTCATAGACTAGAATTTGTAGGACTATAATTTTCAATTACATACACACATAACATCTTCTACAAGCCACAGAACCTAAATTATGTGAAAAAAATTAAATATTTCAATATGCCACAGAATTGTGCAATCAGCACTACGAGCAATGGGAGGGACATCAGCAGTGATCTGGGTGACTATCACTATTGATCACACTTTCAGAGACATGTGCAACAAGAGAACCAGAGTAGCCGGAACACCATTGGGTAAACTAAGCACTTAAATTATTCCCTCTCATCCTCAAAAAATATTAATTACAAAAATAAAAATAGGCCAGGAGTGGTGGCTCATGCTTGTAAAGGAATTTGGGAGGCTGAGGTGGGAAGACGGCTTGAGGCCAGGAGTTTAAGACCTAGGCAACATAGCAAGACCCCATCTCTACCAAAAAAAAAATTTTTTTGTTTTGAGATAAGGTCTTGCTCTATAGCCCAGGCTGGAGTACAGTGGGGCAATCTCAGCTCACTGCAACCTCTGCTCCCAGGCCCAAGTGATCCTCCCACCTCAGCCTCCTGAATAGCTGGGACTACAGGCACATGCTACCATGCTCTGCTAATTTTTGTATTTAAAATATAATTTTAAAAATATAAATAAAAACAATGCTAGTTTGCATCTGGCCTCAAAGAAAAAAAAAACTGTATATGAGTCCTTCTCCTTTACTCTTGACCAAGCTGCTTTTCTGTCCAGTTTCTTTGGTCAGGTTCCTGAACCACTTAAAACACCAGAGTTCCTTTATGTGTAGTCAAGCCAACCAAAAGAGCCACAACCTTTTTTTGCCCAGCCCCAGAAAATAAATGGTGTTAACATGTTTTTCAGTGAAGTGTAGAAGGGAAAAAACAAACTCTGTCTTCTATCAACATCTAAATTTTTGTGGATTATTTTCCTCTTTGATCCGTTTTCTCTTTAACCCTTTCATACTGTTTCAGCTCTCTTCCTTCTCTTATTTATTCCTTCATCTCTGTTCCAAGTTCTTTTTGCTCTTACTCTTCTCAGTCTTAAAGGCCAGATCAATACCCTTTCAATTCATTTCCAATAGGAAAGAAAATGTATCAGGGACTAGGAAATCTAACTCACACCAATAGCAGCAGCTGCTACTATCACCAACAATAAACAAAATCAACAAGTATCCAAGCAATTATTCAATACCTACTGTAGATGAAATTGTGTGACAAGAATGATGGAGGAGATAAGGTACAAGAGAGTTACTGCTCTCCAAGAACTGACAATCTAGTTGGAGAGATCATGCCAAAATGTGTGAACAGTTAAAACGTAAAGCAGTCAGAAGACTGCAGTACATAATCTAAAAAAATAAACGAGCTGTATTGTTTGGACACAGATCAAAGGCAGGCATGGCCACTGTGCTCTAGGGGCTCTCAAGGAAACTGACTCAGAGAAAGCACGAGCTAGACTCTGAGGACCCCTAAGGGCAGTAAGAGATGAGGTGGTGAAGGGAAAGCTTTCCAGGAGGCTGACCATGTATAAGAAGGAAGAATATAAAACAGTAAATTTTATGTTACATATATTTTACCACAATTAAAAAAAAAAAAAAAAAGGAAGGGAGGGAGGGAGGGAGGGAGGGAGGGACAGGTGCTTGGGCCCCTCAGCTGTCTCTAGCAAGGCAGAAAAAGCCAATACAGAGGGCTTGACAATCTGAGAATTCCTGTGTATAGACAGGAACATCCTTGTGAACTTGGTCAACTGACACTGTCCAGAGCATAGTCACACACTACATAATTCCTAATATTATTTTTTCTAACCTAACATTATGAACATATCCTTTTCTTATTTTAAATACCAACATTGTATATAACCTGACAGTATGACTAAAGCAAAAGAAACTATTGATCAACAAGAGAGAGGTGTGCATGGT